CTTAGTATAGCTTTCCTCATGCTGCAGAGTTTTAGCCACGTGTGCATCATTTACCTTATCATGCAACACCATAACATTGCTAAGACTTCTCTTAACATGAGAGGGAGTTACACCCCTGGGTCCAAGCTGAAACTTTCCCTTCCTTTTCTCACCAACCCTTTCTGGTTGTTTTTCATCAACACTCTGCTCTTTAAAGTCATATTCACATGATTGATAGATGACATGTTCCTCTTCTTCAGAGTCGTTACCATTTTCAGTTGCTGCACCCTTCTCAAACTCCCCTCCGTTCTCAGTTGAACGATGCAAAATGTCCCCTCCATTCACTGTATTAGCCTTCACCTTGCCTCTCTTACTGATGACCCAGACTGATACATCAGATTTCTCTCTCCACACAATGAGCTGGAAAAGGTGTTCCTTAGTAGGAGAGCATTCCGCAATAGCTTCTGTTAACACCATTCGATCACCCTCACAGACACTTTCACCTTCATTGGCCACATCCCCCAAGAGAAATACATTGATTGTGGCACATGCTGCATGCCTTGCTGCTTTTTCCACATCTTCCTTTAATACAAGCTTGCAGAGCTTTCCAAACCTCTCTGAATTCTTTATGGGAAAAACTTTAACGACAATCCCTGATGAAATAATACAGGCAAATCAGATTACGACTGATAAACATTATTTTACAATATTTTAATGACAAGGAACATAGTTAAAGCTCTGGTTAATAAATTTCTTATTTTTTATTAAGTTATCATTATAGTATCTCTGGAGTTAGTGCCATATTCATACTGTGTCACATTCAAGGTAGCAAATGAAATATTGGATAAATATTATTAAGAAACAGTGTTATTCTAAATTTCTGGCTGAAGAGTTAACACTGTTGAGACCTCAAAATACCAGTAATAACCCCTCAAAGTAGCTATCTCTGAATGCAGCTTATCATAAAGGTACCAAGGGTCCCCTTTTTGGGAACCTGACAAAATTTTCAATAAATGCCACTTTGGGTAACTTCTGTTTATAATATAATTTATGGTTGACATTGTAAGGAGCTTTTAGTATTAAGGAAAAACTATTTGGCATTATCGGGTACCATACTGCATTTTATGACCTGATTGGGGATATTTTTTCTGCATCCTTGTGAATAATGTTTTGATCCTGGGGGTACTCCCCATAGTGGCCTATACAGGGAGTCTCCGCCTGAAAGGGGTACCTTGTACAAGCCTCAGCTCCATGAGAGGGTAGGGATTTCACTAGTTGAAGTACATGAAAGGGTAGGAAAATCTGTCATTTCAATTGATGAAAGCCCAAAAGGGTTAACAAATGCATTTTATTGCTGTGAGAAAGTAGAGGAAACATTCTGGCTTTGTGATTTATTCATAGTGTAAACACAGAGCCTTTACAGAAATTAAAATGGGTGCTAAACTATAGTTGACTACCAATAACTCAAACCTTCTAGGGAAATTGAAAAAAGTGTGAGTTACAAAATATACGGAAAAAGCAAATAGGTGGGGAAGGGAATGCAAGTACTATGCACACTTCACTTCAAGGTCAACAAAAGTATGTATAAACTGATATTTTGAAAAAGGAATTAAGCAACTAAGTTTGATTAATATACAGGGAAGGTTGCTGAATTTGAACTGGAGTGACAGAAAAGTAAAGACAAAGAATTGACATGGTTGTTTTGAAAAGAATTCAGTGTTTCACACTTCAGTAAACTGTTTTTTATTTTCTGACTTTTCATGCTCTAAAAATATTGTTTGAGTTATTGTGGGTAATATTATATACAAATGATCTGAGGGGAAACAAAAACTTCTTCAAGTTAGCAGGAGGCTCGAGTTATCAAGGGGTTTGAGGCAGTGAGGGTAAAATTACAGTAAATGTATAAAGAAAATCCAGGGGAAGTTGACTTTGGTTTGAGATGACACGAGGTTCAAGTTAACAAGGGTTCTAGTTATTGGGAGTAGACTGTAGGTACGTGAAAGGCATACCATTTTTCAGTAATAGGTATACCTTTAATGTCAAAAATGGTACATGTATGCAAAAGGGTAAGGGGTTGGTCCTTGGGGTGGAGCCACTCTGCATAAAACTTTGATGAGTATCCCCCCCCCCCCCCCCCC